AAAGGCAGTCCACAACCAAGATGCAAGAAAAACCATTTATTGTGAGCATATACATTATGTACAGTCAAGAATTACATCGAATAAACGCGCCTGTTGTGAGAGTTCCTGGCAGCACGGGTCGGGTCTCTCCTCCTCTTCTCTCCAGGGGATTTCGGCAGAGATGTGGTGACTTGAACAAGAGTCCCAGAGGCGGGCTTCAGCCACAGGTCTCAGGAGCCGCCTCTGCCACGTCGTCGTAGGTATCCATTTCAGCATCCAGGGCCGCTTTCCCTTCCGACATGTATGCATCCAGTTCGGCGTCCAGCTGCTCCTTGGTCAGTACCGGGCGAGGGAGGGCACCTCTCCCTCTCCCTCGGCGGCGGCCACGGCCACGGCCACGTCCTCGGCCTCGGCCTCGGCCTCCAAAAGCCCCTCTTCCACCACAAAACACGGCCCGACCTGGGGGTGGCATCCCGCCCCCGGGCAGGGTCCTGGCGGCAGGTCCCCCACCCACTCCTCCTCCTTGGGGCACGTCTCTCTGGATGATGCCTGCGCCTCTTCCTCCATTCGCTCCCCTGGCAAAGGCACCCATGGGACGTCCTAAACGGACTTGGATGCTCCTCTCACCCAGGCGCCCCTCCAAGCTCTGCCGAGGATTGAACGCTGCCTGGACAGAGGGTCTCTTCTCCATCTGCTGGGCCAGTCTTCTGTTTCTGGCACTGGCCAGCTGCTGCTGCCGCCTCTTCGAGGCCCGGACGCTGCCCGCCATCGCCTGTGGCTGTTTGTTCTTGCGCAGTTGAGCAAAACGCTCACTTAGAGTCATCTTGGTGGTGTGCCTCAGCACGACTCTGGGCACTGGCTGTGCGGTCCTCTTCAGATGCTGAGAATCCAATGAGGTTAGCTGCCCGGCGGGTACGATGCGAAGCTCTCTCATCGTGGGTTGGGTATCTAGACCGGCCGGCCCTCTCCTGCCTCTCGTCCGTGCCACCAAAGCTGGCACCGCCAACCCCGCCCGCCGCCTGGTGTCCAAAGCAAAGTCCCAGGAGGTGGGGTGGACAGTCCGGCCTCCTGCAGCTCCCGCACAGGCAAGCGGCTTTTGCGGCTTTCTCGGGAACTGGTGCCCCAAAGGTCCGATCCAAGAGGGTGCTCCGATCCTAACTGGTCTTAGCAAGAACCCGGAGCCAGATATCTGGGGTGAACACTGAAGGGCCAGAGAGACAAAGGAACAAGCCCCAGCCACTTCTCACCTCCCCTACTCCACCAGTCCTCCGACTGGACGCCTGGGAGTCCTCAGTCCAAAAGGCCTCGACTTCCTGTCTCTTCCCGCCTTATATACCCCTCTGGGCCACGTCACTTCCGCCGTCATGCTGGGAGTGG